TTTTAATTTGGTTGATTGGTAATTTGCCACCATATAAATTGAGACCCAATTAACGTATGGTATCTCAGTTGAGATTAGGTATTTAAAAAGTCTAGTGGCAACGAGAAGAAATCAAGATAATTAAATCAAATTAAGATTTTTCGGAAGTGTTAGTTCTTAAAAAACGACCAAGTTTTGTGTTTTGAAAAGGTCTTACCCATTTGTTCAACTCTACGCGATGAAAGCTTTTCAAACCACTCGACAAATGTTTGATTCTTTGTGTATATGGCCTGAAGAGTCGACACAAAATCGATTTAAACTTAAAAAACTGATCATTTTCGTTTTTATTACTCAATGTATCATACCACTTTGGCTATATTTCCTGTTTGAAGCAAAAGATTTCAACGAATATGCCGATTCTTTCTATTCAGTTGCAACAGCAACTCATCTTTTTTTCACTTATTTTATAATTTATTCAAAAAGACAGACCGTTTTTCGTTTAATGGAAGATTACGAAGGCGTTGTACAAGAACGTAAGTTTTAATTATGTGTAAAAAAATGTGTGGTAATTTGATATTGAAACGACATTTGCAGGAATGAAACGACCAAAATCGATTGCAATTTACATAGACGCAACTGAAAGAGTCAATAAATTGGCTAAGATATTTCGTTTTGCATTTTCAAAAGTGTCAGTTCTCGGTATTACTTTACCGCCGTTTGTAGCAAGTTATTTTGGATATTTTATATCATATAAGGGCAGTGAGATTTTTCATTTGCCGTTTTTCATGTGGTAAGTATAAAACTTTTGTTTTCCAAAAGAAAATTAAATATGGAATTTGCATGATTTTAGGTTACCATTTGAATGGAAGACACCATCCACATTTTTAATTGCATGCTTCATTCAGTTTTCATCAATTTATTATTTTATATTGGCGGCGGGATGTAGTTTAAATGTCTTAATCGGATCGTGTATTATGTTAATGTCTTTCACCAGAGACATCAAAACAGATATGAACTTTCTCAACAGAAACGTAACAAATGAAACTAAATTCATGCATAGGCTTGGCAAATTTATAGATTTTCACACTAAAATTAAACAGTTTAGTATACTTCATCATTTAATTGTGAATAAAAAGTACAGTTTTAGTTTTTTTTCAGGCTCACTTTTGATTATATGAAAACTTACGATATTGTTATAACATTGTACTTTTTGTGGAGTATTTCGACAATTTGCAGTACACTGCTGATGGTTCAGGCAAAATTGGTATTGCATTTTTACTATTATAAGAAAGTGTGGGGGTTTCAAATATATTTAAATAATTCGGTTTATAACCCATATTCTCCCGAAAAAATAGTCGGAAAACATTGACGATTACCTTGAGCTGATTAGCTTATTGATTTTAATATTTTGGTCGTTTGCTGCAAATTTCCTTTTTTGCGAGGTATTTAAGTTTGATTCCAAATCATTTAGATAAAAACAATTTTAAATTTGCTTTCGATTTTATAAGTTTGGCGAAAATGTAACTAGTTGTTTCAACGATTTAAACGATGCTATTTGTAACAGCAACTGGTACTCATTCCCAACTCACGTCCAGCGAATGATACCAACAATCATGATCAACGCACAGAAGTTAATCATTCTGCAAGGTTTCGGAAGAGTTGCGTTAACACGCGAAGCTTTCAAAATTGTAAGATTATTGTGTAATTTAAAAAAATGAAGTTCATTCAGTACGATTTCAAAATCACAATTCATCAACTTATTTTCCAGAATATCAACCGCGGATTTTCGTATTTTATGGTTCTTAATAAGTAAAATTTGCTATAATTTCAAATTGTCAAATTGAATATTTCATATTCATAGTTTTATTTGGACAAATTAAACCAAAAATTTCTCTAGCAAATCAGACAGATTTTCGTTTTTTTTATGGAAGTCACTTTTTGAGACGAAAGTCCCTAGCAAATCGAAAGAATTTTCTCCGCTCGGAACCTAAAAACCCTAGGAAATTGAAAGAATTCTCCTCAATTTTCTACAATGATGAGCTAAAAAAAGGTCTTCACTTTTAAAATCAAAAACCCGAGCAAATTCGAATAATTTTCGCGAAAAAAAATTTCTCATCCAAATCACAGGGGGAGTAAACCCCCCCTTCGCACATTACTGATTTAAACGTATTTTTTCTGGTGTTTACACATAAGCACTTTCAAATCATATTTAAAATTGAAATTCACGCATAACATCGAAAACTCTAAGTAAATCACTTTAATCTAAATCGTCTTAATATTAAAAAATAAGAAAATGCCGTTTTGAGTATCTATAAATGAATAAAGTCCAAATAAAATGTATAGCAAAAATTGTTTGGAACTCTTTTGTTGAAAATACCCGTGCAAAAACTTCATAGTTGCAATGAATGTTGCCAAATATTTTGAGGTATATTTCTTTTTGGGTAATCGAAATCACCATTGGGAGTCTAATTTGCAAATTTTGAGGTAAGTTATACCATTCAAGATGATAAACTGCGCTATTTACATTATTTAAACTTTGCGTTAACATATTGCCAAAATGACAAACTAAAAAGGTGTAGTATATGAGTCCAATGCTGGGACTGAGGAACTGCAATACACCATCAAATTTCTGAGCCTCCAAAAACTGTAACCCATCGAAACATTCAAAAAATCAAATCGTTTTAAATCTAAATAAATCATGATGCTCCACGTATTACCATGTTGATTTGTAGACAAAAACAGCACAAAGATATCAATGTGTATATAAAAAACCAAGACATATAAATGCTATTCATGTTTGAAAAATCGTCTGTAAACCTATTGTTCAAATAAGCAATTAAAATAAAAGCAGTGAAAAATTAATAAAAAGACTTAACGCCTTCGCCTCTGAATGGAATTTAACAATATCGATAAATTTCTTCTTAAATTCCAATTGGTCGTTGTCAATCGAATTTCTCTCCGTTGCTACAGTGAGCTGCGCATGTAGTTGAAGTAATTTTTCTTCAATATCCAAAACAAATGCCGCAACAAATGTGCAAAATCCAATAGTGAAAAAGAGGAAAAATATGTATATCCAAAATAATGCAGGCATCGATACGGCTTGAATCAAAGTGGATCCCAAATATCCGATTGGTGTTTTTGTATCAAATGGACACCTTTTAAAATATACAGAAGAAAAAA